AGAGGCTGATATTTGTGATTTTGCACATTTTGGACATTCATCGCTGAAATTTTTCCACCTGTTTTAGTAAATGTGTAAGGCTCTTTTTTTAATACACAGAGCATCTCACATTCCTAAAGGTGGAAGAGGAAAGATTAAAAATATATGATGGAAACTATTTCTTAATGAGGCTACTTCAAGTACAGTTATTGCATTTTAGGCATGAGTGATTTCACAGCACCGTCAACAATGAAACCCATTGCCAGGTTTGGCTGGAAGGCAAACCAGACTTCTAAAAGCACTTCAAGTTTGCCAAACCAAGACAAAAGCACATCTCTCTGAAGTTATTTAGTGTCCTTAATAAAGATCACAGTATTTGTAAACTAGCCAAACCTCAGTAAAATCAAAGATTTTTTTAAAAAATTCTTTCATGATACCAAGGATCCATATGATCCAACATGACAGATAATAGCTTTGAAAATATTCCCCATATGTTTCTGGCCAAAAAATGTGTTAATGTGATGACACTTCTTTATGGCCTCTTTATTTGATGCATTTCAGCAATCAAAGATTTCTAGAGAAGCCCAAGGGTTAATGAAATTAAACTTGATGGAGTTGTTGAATTCATAACAAACTGAATCCTAAATTTCTCATCTGTTGAATAATGCAGACATATCCTTTTTCCACGTTGAAATGTAATTCCTGTACTGTAATTTCATTTTTTTCTTTGGAGTTGAAGCAAAAGGGAAAAGAGAAGAAGATTCAGTTTTAGGCAAACTTCAACTAACACTCGTACCCTGGGTGGAAACTTCAAAGGCTGTGAGTACCTGGGGAGTTTTGGACAATTGTTTAAGCAGTTTTTAAAGGAGAGCTCTGCCTTTTCATGGCTTATAAATGATTCTGGTGGCCACAGATCTCCTGCCTAAGGGAGGGATGTGAGCCAGAGGTGGTGGCTGTTGTCCCAGGCATGGCCCACCTGGTCACCCTGTTTTTCTGAGGGGTGTTTTGACATGACCCTGGTCCTCCTTGACACTTCTCAGAGAAGCATCCAGTGCCTTGAGCTGTGCTGTTGGATAGTGCTTGTTGAACTTCTCCAGGGACACAGACACATGCACATATACAATTTTTATCTCCCAGGGTAACGTGCCCCTGCAGTCAGCACTGCACCAGCAGCCTGGGTCATTAGGAGCCCTGTTCATGCCACCGGTGCAGAACTCACCGTGACAGCGCCCAAATCACTGCTACCCTTCTATTCCCAACAGGAGAGTGCTGTGTTCAGTGTTGGGGAGCTCTGTTGGTGCTCCAAAGGGAAACCCCCTTCTCCTGCCCACCTCTGAGCACACACTCCACCCTGTGGTCAGAGGAGTGCTTGTGTGGCAGGCTGTGGTTTTGGTTCTGCCAGGTGCTCATCCAAGGAAAGGGGTGGAGAATATTACAGGACCACTATTTTTGATCAGCTTAAACCAACAGTGAAATTACCCTGAGTGTCATATAGCTTATAAAAGTGAATTTTATGTGGCCAAGCTGACTTCTGAAGTATTTTATAAGCACTTGGTTGCTCAACAGTTGAAAAAAAGGCCTTTTTCCTAAATAAAGATCTGGGATGTTCATGTTTGAAAAGTATGTTTTTGAAAATCTTGTCCCCATATAGTTCAGCAAAGATTTGTATAGCCAGCCACATTCCTGTGAAGCAGTTCTCCATCAGCATGGAAACCTTGTTAACATCCAGCTCAGACTTGATTCTCCAAAACTTTTATTTTGTGAAGTGTTCACCATCAAACTTGAATGAAGGTCTAATTCACAATGTTATGAGGGCAATATACTTCAAAGCAAGAGGAAATCTATTTTGGTACTTGTATTTTGATTAATGAGTTTTCTGAATCCTTTCACTGTAGTTATGTTTGTCAGGTGTGGCTTCTTAAGGATTAATGATATCTTCAGAGCTATTTTTCTGAATATGATTTGATGCCTGAAGTGATGATTAGCAAGAAATATTTCATTTTACAAAGAACAGCCACTTATTAATAAAGCATATTATATCAGAAACTATAGAGCACCACATAGCAGGAGCCACATTGTTATTGTGACAAATAATGGAGAAATATAAAAAGCTTTCACACACACAAAAAACGAAAAAAAAAAAGGAAAAAAACTATTCAGCTTTTGAGAGATGGAGGAATCTCAAGTATAAATTAACTTTCTGAAGTCAGCAGACAGATATCTGGTGGTCTGGGAAATGCCTGCAGTTTGACAGCTAGATTGTTCCTTTAGGCACAGTCATGAACTGGAGAGGAGTGGAGGAAAATAATGCCTGGGAGGCTGCCTATGGTGAGGGCAGGGGAACTGGTGACAAAAGGCATGGAGAAAGCTGAAGTATTCAATGCCTTCTTTGCCTCATTCCTTACTGGTAAGACTGGCCTTCAGAAATCCTGGGGCTCTCAGAGCAAGAGGAAGATATGGAGCAGGAAATATTCACCCACAGTGGAGGAGGTTCAGGTCTGGGAACATTTGAACTGGGAATAACCAAGTCCATGAATGCTGAGGGACAAGTGCTGAGGGAACTGGACAATATCATTGTAAGGCATTCTCAAGTATCTTTAAAAGATTGTGGTGATCAAAAGTTCCCACAGAAAAAAGGCAAATGTCACTGCAATCTCCAGGAAGGCCAGAAAGGATCTAGGGAAGTGCATGGACCAAGCCTACATCTCAAGATTTTTTTTTTGGTCTTTTGTGTGAGTCAGCCCAAGGCACTGCTGGCCTTGTTTGGGGCTGGCAGAGCTATACCTCCCTTGTAGGTGATGTGAAAGGTTTGAGACAGGAGAGAACCAGACACAGAAAACATCTTGCATGGTTTCCACCTGTGCTTGTCCTTGAGTTTGGTGAAGAAAAACACCATTTTAGCACTTGTCACAAAACAAAAATGCAAAGCTCTCAAGGAGTGAATCTGCCAAGAGCAGCAAACCTCTAATATGAACATTTCAAGGGTTTATCCTTTTTTTTTTTTTTCATTCTACCTATTCAGAATGAATGCATCCTTAGACATATGCTGTAGCACAAAGCCATCTGCCTGTATTATTATACTGTATCATCCCCATTCATTTAATGGGAGAGAAGGGAAATAGTTCCTGCAGTGGTGGTGGTGATTTCAGGACCATCTAGAACATTGGCACAACAAACTGTAGAAATAAATACTGTCAGAGTATTGTTTCTTTCTACATTCCCTCAATTTCTTTCTTCAGTATAGTTGTCAGCATGTGTGGCATTCACTTCTCAAGCCATTTTATCAGCTGGATTTTAAAACTGCAGCAAGAGAACTGTGTGAAAAGGCACTGCCACATGGCCTGCAGTGTTTGCCCATTGCACCCTTTTCTCTGCCTATTAGCAGGGTGCACCTCAACAGGAATGATATTATTACTAATGGCTTTGAATGCTGCATCAGTGATGGGTGAATGTTTGCCATACTGTGGCACAGCACAGCAGAGAAAACACCATTTGCAATCCCACCTCTAGAGCAGAGTAAGCCAGTGGAGTGGTGCAGAAAGTGTAGAATGCTATAATTGGAGTGCCAAACCAAACCAGCAGCCTTTGCTCTCCAGGGCTTGGTGGTGACTGCAGGAGCTGCTCCTGGAGTTGGTTAAAGATTGCCAGCACTGAGGGATTTCAGTGCTGTGCACTTCCATGGTTCTCATTTAGAGCCTGCAATAATGTGATGTATTGTTAGTAAAATGCTTTAAATACTACCCTAAAGGGAGGACAATTTTAGCAAGGATTTTCTGTTTCAATACATCATCTGCCAAGCCCAGTCATTTTTATAAGGTACAGCGGAGTAGCCAAGAAAGCTAAAGAAAATTAAAAAATAAAAAATAAAATATAAGTATATATATATGCATGCATATAAATTGTAGGGGGCAGGATGCTTAAGAAGTGTAGTCATCAAATATGGCAGGCAAAGTGACTGTGGTGAGAAGTTTGCAATTTCACTGCATGCTGAAGATATTAGTTAGTGTTTGAACAGGACAGAACTGTAATGCCATCACTGCCTTAGGAAAAGGTGCTGACAGGCTGCATAAGCAAACATTTATGTCTCCCATCAGATCTCAGGCCAGAGTGTTGGTAGGGAACAGCTGCAGGGGCTCAGCTGGGACTCCATTGTAATCCCCAGCATGCAGGAGGAGTAGATCTCAAACCATCCTTCCTTAAACTGTGCATTTCCTTCTGAATCAAACTGCCTGTCAGAGTATCCTTGCTCTTTCTTTAGTATAGTTTTAGTATATAATATAATATAATATAATATAATATAATATAATATAATATGAAATCAGCCTTCTGAGAACATGTAGTCAAATTCTCATCTCTCACCTCATCCTGGTGACAACACCACACTTATCGAACCCCAATGCTGGCCAAAGAATGGCAAACACTCACTTGAGGATGACATGGGGCAGAGATAGCCCCCTTTCCTCATTAAACTTTATTCCTGTTGTGTCCAGTGGGGTTGTCCATCCATGAGTCAGCACACTAATGATTTACAGATTGGTGTCATCTGCTGTTCACAGGGGAAGGGCTGATTTTACTGATGCAATACAGATAGTTTCTACTGTTCTAAATGAAATGGGGTTTTCAACATGATACCAGGAATTGCATGGAGTTCCCAGGTGTGCTCGTGTACTCCTCTGAGCAATGTCTGTTCTGGGTTACCCAGGGAAATCTCCTTCTGCACTACGTAAAACCAGTGTCACAGCATGCTTATTGAATTTGTGTCTCCAAACAAAAGGTTAAAAAACAAATGCTGATTTCAGAATACATAGGAGAGCTTTGCCATTTGCAACACTTGAGTGCTCATTATAGATCTCCCAGATATTTTGACTCAAAAGCTGTATTTTATACTTCTTTTGCAAGCTGTTTACAGGCGCAATAGATAAAATACCTTTCTCTGGGCTATACTGAACACCAAGAGTGGTGTAGATCCTCCAGACTTAGCTAGACCTGCTAATCTCAGCAACCCATTTCCGTCCCCACAGGTGTAGTTCGCCAGGTGAGGCCCATCATTGGACCTTTCCATGCCATCCTGAAGCTGGAGATGAACTATGTGATGGGCGGGGTGGTGTCCCACCGCAACATCGTCAACGTGCACATCTTCGTGTCCGAGTACTGGTTCTGAGGGACACCCACAGCAAGTGCTCCAGCCTGAAACATTACCACAAGCTATTATGTCATATTCTTGTTTTTAAAACCCAATAGTGTTCTTTTTTTTTGTTTTGTTTTTGTTTTGTTTTTAAATATTTGGTTTATAGTTTAAGGCAAATAACAAGCTATTATGTTGATTTAGACATAGGGCTGAGCAAATTAAATGAGCCTGATGTAGTTGTTTGTATAAATATGTAGTGTGTAAAACTGCTCAGCTGCCTGGTGAAGTTTAAAACTTTTCTAAATGTTTGGACACATCTCCTTGGCCAGATAACCTGGGTGAGAGGCTGTGTAACAAAACAGATGTCAGAGTTCATTGGGATGAGTATATGGTGTCTTTGGATGAAAGAAGTTGTATAAGGATTAACAATTTCATCTCAAATTAACTACCTTGAGGAGGATTGTCAGAGAGTGATAAATAGGTTTGGGCCCTCTGAATAGGTCCCCAGAACTGCTAATTATTCCTGAAAAATTCAGCCTGGATATTTAAGAAGTGCCATTCAGCTGCAGCCACCAGAGGAAGTGCAAAAGGAATTAGAAATACTCAGAGACTAACAAGCTATTGCACATATTAAAAATACTCCTATTTTTTTGGTACTTATTATTTGATTTTAAGATTGTTTGATTCTAATTGAACAAGTACCTCTCATTGAAATTAATCTGTTACAGGAACACAGCATATTGCTTCAATTCCAATCTCACCAGTACTCAGCAATACATGGGAAATTCATACTTCATCTCCTGTCTGTTATAAAGCTCCATGCCTTTTTAAAATTGGTAATAAAATTAGCATGTTAAACTGTACATTTCCTATGCACCCAACTAAGGCATATGTAATTATATAATGAAAATCTCACCAATAAATGAATGTTTAATGTATTTTCTAGGCATCAAAATACTGTATCTTTTTTATTACAGAACAGAAGAGAAATAACTCTATGTTTCAGTTTGTTGTGTTTGTTAAGATATGAGGAAATAAAGAAGGTCAGATGGGAAATACTCCAAAGTATGCCATGGTTTCTGATTCCCAGGAAAATTATATGATATAGCTTTTGTAAGCAAATTCATCAGATACATATTCCCACTCAAACCCCTTGGTCATTATTGGCACTAAGCATGGAACAGGCTGCTGTGAGAAGCTGTGGCTGCCCCATCCCTGGATGGGCCCAAGTTCAGGCTGGATGGGGCTTGGAGCAACCTGGAATAGTGGGAGATGCCCCTGCCCATGGCACTGGGGTTGGCACTGGATGAACTTTAGGGTCAGTGTGATCCTGCTACCTTTATTTTTAAATGTGTGTTTGTGGTCTGGGTGTGTTTGGGAGGATGTTGTTGATGCAGAAAGTAGCAGGTGCCAGCTGTGGCAGAAAACAAGTGTGGGCTCTGAGGGATGATTCTGTGAGCAGCAGCCCTCTTGCTGTGTTTCAGCAGTTTGCATTTAGTGTTACAGAAATGGCTTTTACACGGATGCTGACACATGACTGTTCATTATTCTCTGGTGGTGTTAAGCCACATTGTGTAGGAAAATTGTATTTATATTTTTATTCACGTGGTAGGCAGGGATGGAGATGTTCATGCCATGTCCACGCCGCCTTTTTCTTATCCATCTGAGCTTGACAACTCATCTCCCAAGTCTCACTCTTGACACCAGAGATCAGTAATGCAGCTGGACAAGGAACCCACCTCTGGGGTGCTCTCATCACCTTGGAAAGGCTTTTCCCAGGTAGGTGGGCTTTAACAGAGCTTAAACAAAGCATCAGTTCCCCTTGCCATTGTCTGTGTGATCTGCAAGTCTGGCTTTGGTACTGCTTGGATGGAAGGTGAGTCACCCCATTTAAATGAGAAGCCAATAAATCAAATGGAGGGTGATGCCTTTTTCAACCTAGAAATGAAACTCAAGATAGTTTTAGTATAGGAGCTAATATAAGAGTGGGTCTTTATTGGAGCTCCAGGAGCAGTTATGGAAGAATGTCCACAAAATCCATGCCCACAGGGGTGCATACAATTTTATAGGTTTCAGGAAATTAGCATAATTGATGAAAAGCACCAATGAGGAGGACAAGTGGTGATGCATTCCCTCCAAGTCAAGTCCCTTCTCTGGAGCTCCACCCCTCCACTTGGTTCTAGCTGTATTTTGTTTATGAAAATGTGTCTCAAAGAGCTGTTTTCAGGCTTGGTACCCAGGAAAAACCAAGACAGGATAGAGGCCTTGTACCCCCAGGGCTTGGAGCTCTGGAATTTGTTTTGTGTTCCTGCCTAGGGAAAAGGCAGGGAAAACTACTGGGAAAACTAGCTACAAATGCAATAATAATCTACAGAGCTCCAAATGTATGTGTAAAGAATGCCAAGAATATATAAAAGAAAAAAAAAAGGTAAAACCTAATAGACATCAAAGGAAAGCAGCTGTAGTGTATCACACCATGGATGATGGGTATCTTGGCCCGGCCATGCTCACAAAGCAACATTTGCAGGTTGATCCCCAAGCTGGTGGTTAACAAAAACCCCAAGGTTTTTTTGTTTTGTCATTAGGTGATGGTTCTCACATGAGTGAGATCCCCAAGATGGTGTTAAGGTTTTTTTGTTTTGTCATTAGCTGATGGTTCTCACATGAGTGAGATCCCCAAGATGGTGTTAAGGTTTTTTGTTTTGTCATTAGCTGATGGTTCTCACATGAGTGAGATCCCCAAGATGGTGTTAAGGTTTTTTGTTTTGTCATTAGCTGATGGTTCTCACATGAGTGAGATCCCCAAGATGGTGTTAAGGTTTTTTGTTTTGTCATTAGCTGATGGTTCTCACATGAGTGAGATCTGGTGCAGGTCATACAGTGATTGGGGGGAAAGCTGATAAAAGATTTTGGGCTCCTCCACTCAGGTAAAGCCAAAGCCAACTTTATCTGAGCCCAGCCCATGAGTGACCTTGGACCTGATGAGAACAACAACCCCTGACTCTGGATGTGAGGTAAGTTAAATTGCATGTTGCCAAATTGTCCTAATACTGCCAACATTTTGAGAATAAATTGTAATAACAATAAAAAAGCACTACTGTAATGGATACCATCATAACTCTGTAACTGCACTTTAGGTTTTGAAAATTACAAATATGTGTTTAACTAAGGCTAGCCAGAAAGTACTAAATAGTGCTTGAACTGTGGCCAGCTGTCTAGAAACTAGAAATTAGAAAAAAAATGGGGTTGTTCTCTTCCAAAGTGGAAAAATTGTGTACATTTGTACCTATTGAGCTGGTGACCATTTGTCCAGCTCTACCAGGAAGCACCAGATTTTCTGTGGTATTGAGAGGATGAAGTAGTTTGTAAAACAACTGCCAAAAACTTGAAGAAAAATGGACTGTCAAGCCTTCAACCTATGATGCACTTTACATCTTACAGATTAGGGATCTCATTTGCAGCCACTAAATCTCCTACTTTTTTTTTTTATCAGATCCCATCAGTGAAGAAGTCATGGTAAACTTTGTTTTCTTTAGCAACAGTGAGTTTCATTTTGTCTTGAATTACGTGCATTGATTGATTTTTAGTGCTGTTTCTTCAACTCATGTAAGCAGCTTGATTTTTTCCAAAGCATTGTAGAAGAATCCACAATGTGGAAGAATTTTTTTTTTTTACCTGTCCCCTGAGCAAGATTTACACCTGACCTCTTATTCCACTTCCCTTTCCTTAAGTTTCTCAAATGGGGAACACTTGGGAACATGGAAAGAGCATTTCAGATGCAGATGCCTGTGTCATTCAGGGAGAAATGAGATGTTCTGTCCCATAAGTTCCTGTGCTGTGGAGCTGCTGTTTCTGTGTCAGAGCCCAGGGAAGGTGGTGATGGGGGTGGGATGGGCAGGAAGAGGCAGGAAAGTGTCTGTGTTAGCAAGCAGGAAAGGAGTATTAATGCATTCTGAGAACTTGTGGCTTCCCTGAGCTCCTCCCAGGCAGAGGTTACTCTGAAATCAGCAGTGGTGAGGCTTTGGTTTTGATGACTGGCCAAGTGCAGTTATCTGATAGGTGTGGGTGGCTACAAGATTGCTCCCATTGAAGGGCACTGGGAAAATGAGCTGCTGGCTTTTTTTTCCCCTGAACCCACAAGATTTCCCAGATCTGCAGATGCACTGCTCACTGGGACGGGGTCAGAAAGCCACTGAAGCAGAATTCCATGGCCATGGGCTCACCTGGGCAGGGGCACAAGGACTCTGACCAGGCACACACAGTCAGTGAGGCAGGATCTGGAAACCCCCTCTTCAGCAGTGGTGTTGTATTTGATGCTTGGAATAGAGGCTGCCTCTGCAGGAGCCTGTTGGAACCCAGGATGTTCCTTTGACTGCCCTGGAGGATCAGAGACCTTGGCACAGAGTCAAAGACACCTCAATTTTAGCCCATGGAAACAATTACCAACTTTGAGCGAGGAGTTACAAGCCACAAGGGTTTGAGTAGAATGATAGTGAATTTATCACAGGGTGAAAAGGTAGAATTTCGGGGTTTTTAGAATGGGGGTTCAGGAGGCAAGATAGAGGAATCTGGGCATGTCCAGTCTTTCTTCTTCTTAGCCTCCATCTTCTGCTGCGATGGTGACACTTTTGGATTTGTTTAGAGTAGAGACAGACTAACATAGGGGATAGGTATTGGAAAATTATTGTAAATAAAGTACACGTAGCTTGTAGTATAAAAAGATAACACTGCCCTGAGGGCACTCACTGTGCCTCAACCCAACCTGCTGGACAGATCTCAGCAGATCAGGAAAATAATGTTTTAGATAACAAAGAATGGGTGGTGTCTCTGGGGCCAGCCAAGGAGGTCCAGGGCCTGGGGGGTTCCAAAATGATCTAAAGCAGAGCCATCCAATTACTCTCTGCAACTGCACTGGGGGCAGGACATTTTGACTTTGGTTTCATCTTCTGGCAATGGCATTAAAAGCCTAAATTGATGTCCATTGAAGCTAATGAAGAGTTCCTGATTTATCAGGCACACAGCATTTCAAAGAGACCTTGACCAAGTGTTTTA